GGCCACCGCCTGCTTCCGTCTGGAAAGCGCCCACATCCCTGCGTCAGGAGCCCGACCTCCTCTGCAGGCGCTGCCCGGCTGCCCAGCTGCAGCCTCCTGCCTGCTCTGTTTGTTTTCTGTCTGACTTCTCTAAATGCCTCCTAATTTTTCCCACAAAGAGCCAGTGCCTGCCAAGGGGCACACGGGTCAGCGCTCATTACGGCAGGAAATGCATCCAGCCACTGGCTCTTGCAAACAACCCTACAACAAACAGAAAAGGTCACATGAACCACCACTAGCAACAGGGGGCAACCCTGCTCCCACCTGGTGAGAGCAGTCCTACCATAAGGGACCGGGGGATGGAGGCCACCCGCCAGCCACTGGGCTTGCGCAGCACAGCTCTAACCACCTCCTGGAGGAGTCTTCTGATGTTTAGCCCAGCCACCACCTCGGTGGCTGCACAGCCTGGGGGACAGGGGAAAGGAGGAGCCATGCGGGGCCTTGGCGTAAGAACATCCACCTTTGTTCCTGGGCGTAGAGCAGTCCGTCTCATCCCCTTGGAAACGATGTGTAAGCGGAAGGAGCAAGATAACAAGGAGTGGGCTTAACAAACCACAGGCTAGCACCTCTGAGCACGTACAAGCAAGAGACGGCACAATTTTAATTGCCCATTTGTGCCGCACAAAGGCCTTGACAGACACTAAGAGACACCTGCAGTATTGGGACACGCACAATCCCATTGCCAGCCAAGCCCTGGCAGCCCACGGCAGGGCCGGCTGTCACCAAAACCGCCTAACCTCCGCAGAAAAACTTGCACTGCAGGACAGCCATGCCTGCAGGCAGCCGTTTGTCACCGGGGTCGGAGATTTCCCTACCTCTCCCTTCCCACGCATCGCCTTTTCTCCTGCTTCTGCTGCCTTCACCGAAGGTGAGCACAGCGCAGGCTTGGCTTTACACTCAAGAGCAATCTCACAGTGCTGGGTAGGCACACTATGGGTTTATACCCAGAAACACCAGCTCTCTAGAGAAAAGCCCTTTATGCCACGCCAAGCCGTAGGACTGTCCTTGCAGTCCCTAGACAAGGGGCTGTCAGCAGGCCCGATGGTGAGCACCACGCGTCCTCCTGCCGCCACTTGTAGGGGATCACTTTGCAGGGATAAGGTCAGCACTTCCTCCGACCGTGGCCAAGACGGGGCAGGGCCAGCTGCCTCACCAGGCTTCACCCCATCCCCTACATCCGCTCGCCCCCCTGGGTGACACCAGAGCCCTCCTGGCAGGAAGGCTGAACTGGGGGCCCATCAAGGTTTACCTGCAGGCAGGGAACAAGCTGGGCACGGGTGTGAGAGTCACATGAAGCCCTGGTGGCCATGACTCAGCTAGAGGATGGGAAATGCTCCGAGACCGCCTGTTTCATGAGATTTCATGTGCATGCTTGAACTCTAACCACGCTGCTCGTGAGTCCTCCTACCTTGTGCTGGGGTCCAGGGAACCAGCCTCCTGGGCAGCATCCTGCCCGCCTCCACCTTCATCTACCAGCTGCAAGGACACATGCTTGTATTTCACAAGATGTATGAGTGTGTGTGATTACGCACCATCACCGCAGCGCTGGAACAAACGCGAGCCCTCCCAAAATAAGGGCAGGTACCCTGGGTCAAATCAGAGGCCGGCCTGGCTCAAAAGCTTGTCTCCATCAGAGAGCAAAATGCCAAAAAAGGGTAAGAGTGGCACAGGCACAGACTAACTCCCTGACTGCTCCCCCAGTGTCCAAGCTGGGAGAGATATGCTGTTCACGTGTTTTGTAGCCTGCGGCGGGTTTCGCTTCTGCGAAATCCCTGCTTCCCCCTCTAACTCGGGAGCCTCTGAGTGAGGGCAGCATCTCTCCCCACACGCAGGGCTTTGGCCAGGGGTCCCTTGCCGTCAAAAGGTGGATGAACATTGGAGTGGCTTCTCCATGCCAGCCACAGCTGTACAGGCCTGGATTGTATCCACCCTACAGCACGTTTTCCAAACAGAGAAATTCTAGCTCACTTAGTCATCCAGGCACGGCTCCACGCCTTCAGTCCTCCTTGTTGCTTTCCTCCCAACCTTCCCCGGCTCCCCTCAACCCTTCCAGAGATGCTGGGGCTGGGGGCACACAGGGACTGTGAGGGGGTGAGCAGTGAATATGAAGAGCGGCACAAGGCTTTCCTGCTTTGTTTCTGCTTTGTCACTCACAAAGATGATTTGATGTGTTTTTATGCACACTGAGCTATCCGAAACAGCCCCAGGCCTTGCTGTGAGTGGCCAGCTCAGTGTGTAATCTTGTTTGTGGATTTGGGGCTTCCCCCCCTCCCCCATCTATCTCTTGATATTTATCTAAACTGAATTTCATCTGCCTACCGGACGGTGTTGTAATGGTCGTCTGTACCCTTCCTAGCTGGCGCTTGTCCTTACGAACCTGAGTAATCCAATCGCCTCAGCAAGCCCTGTCATCTCATTGCTCATTCCCTTTTCCAGGTCACTCACGAATGCATTGAAAAAACATGGGACCCAATGCAGCAATTTCTTTCCACTGCAAAAACTGACCGCTGACTCCTACGCCCTCCTTCCTGTTTTCATACCAATTACGGAGCCATGCGAGGACCTTCCCTCTTGACCAGCCAGTTCCTTTAAGAACTGGGCTGAAAGCCCTGGTTGAATGTTTTTTGGGAAGAGGCGTGGGCGCCACAAGCCCAGAGTCTCTACAAAGTGCTGCCCCAGCCTGGGGGCCCAGCAGGAGCCTCCCCACCTGCCCACGGACCCCGTCCCTGCGCAGATGCCTGGAACACGCAGCAGATTCACCCGTCAGCTTTTCCCTGAAGTTCCCTCCAGCCCTTCTTAGAAATGAACGTCACATCTTTCCCCCCTCCCAGTCCCCGGGGGCCAGGGCAGTCGTGAATGAATGACTAGAGGCCAGACATGACA